CCCTCCTCAACGACGTGTCTCACAACACCTCAGCTCCCTAATCAATATCACAGAGCTCCTTGTTCAACTGGAGATTCCTCTGCCTGCCAGCCAGCCAGACTGCCATCCTCCTCCTCCTCCCTGCTCCTTTCTTTCTCCTCTCTCCCTCGGTCCCTTCTCCCTCCTTTCCTCACAGCGGGACGCACCTCCATCAGGGCGCTCGCAACAACGCCGTGCCAGGCTTCTGAAGGGTCCGGATGAAAGTGCGACGACAACACAATGGAGACAAAGATGCCAGCAGACGAAAGATAGAAGGAGAGAGGGAGATGGAAAGAATGAAAAAAAGGAATGTTTGGACTTGTGGACAGGCTGCCTCTGCGATCTCACAGGGCACCGCTCTTGTCTGCTGATGTCGATAATGGAGTGGCTGAGGATGGGTGTGTGCTTGTCAGGAGGAACAGGGAAAGCGTGTGTGTGTTCAAGGAGCATAATCTCACTTAAAAGGTGGTGTTTTAAGACACAGCAACAGAAGGGAATGTTTCATCTACAAAGGCCAAAGGTTTCAGTGCACTTCTCCGAGACTTTTCCCACACAACTCCTGGAGAAAAAACTGGCTTGATTAAACAGTAAGGGAAGAATTTGGGTGTTAACCGATCCACAGTATCAGCTCCCATAAAAAAAACTGTGCCTACAAAGTCGAATGCATTACAGAATAGGAAATTTGATTTGAAAGTAACATTTCCATCGTTCTCAAAGCCGGGTCTGAGTACGACAGAGATGTCACGGTGCTGCTAATTAGAGCTGGCAGAAAGAAACGTGTGCATGGATATCGTCTATTGTTCCTCATCACTCTAATGAGCTTAAATGTCTTTGTCTTTATTCATCAGCTCAAAGGTTGTGGAGTTGCTGCAATAGAGTCACTATCTTTTTAAAACAGTATCTATCACTTCATCGAGGGATTGAAGCTGCAGTTGCATCTTACGAAAACTCACTAGCATTCATGCCGTGTGGGGTGTGCTGCTTTCAAGGTGCAACGCCTTTGTTTTAAAACATTCGACCCATCTTGAATGTAGCGGCGTACAGTGGGTTTCTCAGACAGAAGAAAAGACTATGAGAGCCGTAGAGTGCTGAAAGGAGGCAAGCTGGGGCGAAACGAGGAGGCAGAGGTGTGTGAGGAGAACAGAGATAAAACCCTGTTATCCTGTAACAGAGGCCAGATTTGACCTGACCTTGAAAAACGCAAGCGTGCGCACCCGCACACACACGAGCAGGGTCACGGGGCATAAAGAGCCACTGTGTCAGGTCACAGAGCACAGAGACGAGGATAAAGGACTTGAGGGATGTGATATGACTAATATGAGGAGTTTTGCAGGCCTTCGGGGGGACTGGCGTTACAGCCAGCGGTGACTGACACTGCTGATCTGTATCACACATCACAGCAGATCACAGCGGAGGGGAGCAGACCAACCACACACATTAAGTGCAGACACAGAACCTACAGTCTGTGCAGAACAGGAAGGAAAACGTTTTGAGATACAAGTTTCTGTCTGAGTAAACATAATTCTATAAACGTACACACTTTAAATGTCTGATAGGAAACAAGGACATCGTCATTTCAATGAAAATATGCTCTTACAGCCGTAGATCTCTAAAAATTGAAAGATTCCCACTGCCGCTGACAAAACAGTTATTTCTCCCCCCTCAAAGAGCGGGTTCAAAGATCAGCACCGTGCAGGATGGGATGCTGTGGCTCGCATGTCTATCAGGTTACACACTTCAAAAGACACGACCAGCGATGAGAGCAAAGGGGCCAAGGATAGGGCCACATTGTCATTCTGCCATTATCACCACTACCAGGGGATGGACGGCTCATTTTTTCCCCCCCTATTATAATTGAGTTTTTTTCCCCCATCAACAATGGTTCTGAAGAATATGATCTCTTCCTTTGAATCTTTTGAATGGCTCCAAACATTCTGCAAGAGGCCAAAGTGTGGAGTCTCCTCGGTTCGTCAGCTCTGGGAACGGTCTGTAGATGGCACTGTTGGCTCAGGCTACGAGTCGGTTGCTTGCATTTCAGAGGAGGAGGAGGAGGAAGAAGGAGAATATCCACTTTAAACTCATCAACTCCGGATCTGAGGGAAAAAAAAATCTTTCATCTATGCTCAAGTGTCATTTGCCAAATATAATCTTGTAACTTCTAATTAATTCAAACTGCGAGAAAATAATCTTTCAAAATATCACACTTTCCAAACAGAACACATTTTTTCATGCTAAAACTGTTCTTTTTCAGTGGGGGTGATTTAACAGCTCATTATCAAAAGACGTGTTTTTTTCCTCCCCCCCCATTATTCCCTTCACAAATCAACAATACCACAAACTTTATGGTGAGAAAAAAACATTTTCTGTATAAACATAAAACAGTAAACTCAGACTACCTGACGAAGAGAATGTGACCTTAATCCTTGACTTTTTAAGCGCAGCTTTAAGACGCTGTGACAGAATTGTTCCTAAATACAGGGAATTCACTGATCTCCCAGAGTTTATCATCATTCACAATGCAGAGCAAATGCTACAAGTTTGTAAAGCTTCCAACTAGTCAGAATGCAGCAGTAACCTGAAATTTGAGATACGAGAGTTGCATTCTTATGGTTGACATCACTCAGTGAGCGAGAGAGGAAGCCTGTTGTTTACGGTGCAGCTCTGTTGATGACGGCAGGAGGGGTAAACGGAGAGATGACTGGAGGTCTGCCAGCCCATGAGAAGCCCCCATGGGAGTCCAACTGCCGTGATCTATGGCCCGTCTGACTGGTGAGGTCAGACCAGAGAAGCCCTGGAAATGGGAAATTAGCAGCCCTTTGCAATTAGAGCCCTGACCACAGGCAGAAATGGCATATTGCATCACGTACTGGAGACACGTCGGCTATTTGACTGTGAATACTTATGAGACGCCCCCATACCATAAATTGGACCGTGTGAACGAGGAAACTAACAAGAAAACAAACAAGCGAGAGCTGCCCCATGGAGCCACATGTGTAAAACTGGGGATTTATTTATATAGAAGACAACAAAGACAGTCAGACAGAGGATGGGAAATGCCTCGAGGCAGGCTGACTGGCCCTTGCCACAGAAGCGGTGTGCGGACACGCAGGGACCCTGGAGCAGCCCTCTGCTCCGGATGAACATGTCTTCACACGGACCTACAGGAAGAACCTTGCACCCCCACACCTCGCTCATTTACACCACGTCAAGCCAACTCCCATCTCAACAACAAACCCCATCCCATAAGAAGCCCTTAAAATTTGATGCTCCGAGCTATAACGTGTGTGGGGGTGCAGGAGAGGGGAAAGAAGTGTTACACCCGGTGTGTGCTGACAGCAGGGAGAGCTGCTGCTGCTGCTGCTGTTGAAGTGTGTGTCCAGGTGGCTGCAGGCAGTCAGGTAGGCAGGCAGTGCCAGCGGTGTGTTAAACACACATGCAGTTGTCTCAAACCTGTCAGTCAGCCACCCTGCGCCACACCGGACGACCGAGGTCTCATACATAATTTGGCGTCAAATGAATATTTTTTTCAGTGTCCTGGCAAAAGTGGTATTTGATGAATTATTAACCTGGTGATTAATTTTTGCATCTGATCTTCTGTCAAGTGAGATAAAAAAAGAATAGAGTTTTTCCTGTGAAGCCAGTTGTTGAAGGGCACCTCATTCCAACTCCACACATAAAACTTTCATAAACCGATACAACAGGCACACACTATTTTCCCAGAGTAACATAAAAAGAAAACTTACTCCACTTTGAAAGTGGAATCAAGACTTACTAAATAAGACAGACTAAAAGCACCAACATGGCTTTTTAATCTCCGGAGCAGCTTTACGTAGGTGCTAAGGACTGTTAGTGTACAGCCGGCCAGATGAAGCCCGACAAGCAGAGCCTCTTTGAGACGCCGCTGATGGGCTACTAAGTGACTCTGAATCCACAGAGAGTGACTTGTAAAACATCTCAACAGTGTGACATATGTCGTGAACTTTAGCCAAGATGGGACGTTTAGTGGCGCTCTGAGAGCTTGTTCGCTGAAAAAAGCAGCCGAGCAAATGTCAGCGGGGGCCAATCAAACGACCTTGGTGTATATTAAACAAAGCATTGCAATAGTGAGTTCACATAATCACATGGTAGTATAACACCATTCCAAATAAAGATCACAGTAGATTAAAAGTCTTTTATGTCTCTTATATCACGTATAAAAGTTTTGCTTCTACTAATTGTTCAATTTTCTGTGCAGTTTTATTCTATGTAGAGTATAAGTATATCTGTACATATGTAGGTTTGGTTATATAAGAATTAATGTCCTTGCGAACAATAATTAAAAAATATTTTAAACTGCGGTATTTCCAAACATGCACACACAGAAGTACATATATGTACATATGTTTGAAAGGCTAATCAAATTTTATCTCTTACGATGTTAAATATCAGTGATTGTGCTGCCCTGAGGAGAAAAGATGCCAGAAGAATATTAGTTAAAAAATATACAAATATTTAATTCAAATGACCCAAATGGCAGCTTCAAGAGCATATTACTTTTTTAGTTGAATGTGTTTCTCTTCGAAAGATAATTTTGTTGTGATACGTAATTTAAAGATGCATCATTGAGCTCGGTGAACCTGACCTGTCTCTTTACTCACACTAAAGAACCAGGTAAACAAATGATGGATGACACAGTCAGTGATAAATTACATCTTTAGAGATTTTTCACACAGGCCTTATAGAGAGAGATGAATAATTTACTAAAAAGGCAAGGAAGTGAACCAGGGCTAATGCACAGATACCGAGCTTCAATTGAACAGGTGGCGTCAATGGAGATGCCAGTGGGACACATGCTGCTTTGTTGCTTCAGTATTAACATACAAACAACACTCAACACAAAATGTCACAAAATCTGCACATTTGAAGTAGCATCCATTGTGCTGACAGACACACTCCCAGGATAAGAACATCCCATCACTGTATCTCTCACTGCAGTCGCTTACCTTGACGAGGCGCAGCAGCTCATACAGGTCCTCCACCTCATCCCCCTCCGTCTCCCTGTAGTTTCTGCTGGTGTCCAGACTGGAGCCCTGGATGGTGCGTCTGTATAAAGGCAGATCCATGGCTTCGGCATACAGCTCGATGGCCTGGTGGCCCACAGTCTGGTACATGTAACTGTCCAACTCATCTGCAGTATAAAAGAAAAGAAGTTTGAGTGTCTGATGACAAGCCATTGATTACATTTCTGAGGAAAGAGATGACGAGTTCAATAAAGTCCGAAGGATGTGAGAAAGCTGGGGGTGAATAAAAATCCAGGGTAACTTTTAAATTAGGGCAAATGATTAATCTGAAATGAAACTATTTCTTTGAGCTGAGCGTGACATCCTCACATGTCTTGATTTTATTTGATCAACAGTCCAAAACCCAAACACAATGTATTTAGTACGGATATAAGAAAGAAATGACAAAGACGGAAAAATACTGGCTTGTAGGGAACTTGTGTTTCAAAACTACTGAGTAGTTTAAGTAGTGTTAAGATCGTTGTGGGACACATGATACTGGGGTTGTAAAGAGCAGTTTATGCTTAAACTACTGAATGGATTTCTGCAAAACTTTGCAGAAAGAACCCACACAATTGTGGCACAAATCAGGACAAAGGGCTTGGATTAATAACTAATGGATCTCAATAAAGAAAACAGACATATTTTGGGGGGTGATATCTATGAGTGTGTGCATTGTGGTGCAGCGTAAGTGAATTGAAGGTGACTGTTGGACCTTGATGTTGTTTTGAATGTGTTGAAGCCTTGTAGCACTGCCTGCATACACATATATAAATACATATATTTCTCAGAGAACTTCCTGCAGTACTTTGATTATGCACAGCTCTCAGTTTGTGCAGAAGTGCAGCTGGCTGGCCCACATTAGATCTCAGCTAAAAACCCAGCAGCTCTTCCTCCTCCTTACCTGTGTGGGCAGGACGCAGGTTGGCCAGAGCTACGATCCGGTGGCCGGCAGCGACACACTGCATCATGTTGTAGCAGCTGTCTTTGCCCCCACTGGAACACAGAATGAGAAATAGCCTCAGACACAGGTAAGGCTGTGTTTTTGAATCATTAGCATGCAGACCTGTAAGTTATCATGGGGGCACAATCTGGGATTGTGTGGAGCAGCAACAGCATTAATATCCAAAGATAAAGGACCTGGATAAAGATGGTCTATTCTAAACCAGGAACAAGTTTACTAGCGCTTCCATAACTGAGACACAACCACTGCTATGCTAACAAAACATCTCTGGGACAGTCACAGTAAATAGGAGCGGCTACCTTATCAACGCGACCAATTTCATCTTCTTATTTTTCTCTTAAGAGTCTAATGACAAGAGTTTAATGGTGACAGTTCTCAGCAGCAGGTAGAAGAAGACAGAAGACACCATAACAACATGTGAGCACTGTGTTTTCATGCATGTGACAGCAAGGCTTCCGGGTTGCCGAAGGACCCCTCATCTCCACCGAGACGTCCTCTAATATGCCTGAGAGAAAATCTACTGAGTTTTTCTTTCTATCAAACTCATTATCAGGATTTGATCATAATTAAACCTTGATCAGGTAAAGTATTGACGAAGCAGATTGTTCACAGTTAAAATGTAATGATTTTAAATATCCATAGTAAAAACCTAACATAATAATATATTATACAAAGTGGTCAAAACTAATTATTGAAATACTTGAGTACAAATGAAGTAAAAATCAAAAAATAATGATGAATAATCACAAGGAAAAATAAATGTAACTGAAGCACGGAAATAAAGTAATAATAAACATGTTAAATTCAGTGACACATGCAAACAACTTAGCAGGCCCAGAGGTCATGTGTGCATTTTTGATTCTTAAATTTAACACATATGAAACACTTTTGCATGCTCATTACATGTGGTGATTATTTTGTGTTGATTAAATTATCTATAAAGTCTTATGTGAAAGTCACAATTTCATATTTAATATCACATATAATACATTTTATACATGATCAATTGAAAAGAGTTTTATATGAAATGTCGTAATTTACATGTGAAAGCAAGAATTTCAAATTTTTACGAAAGTAAATTTCAAAAATGGACTTGTACAGTTATGGATACTATACTGTAACATGGTCAAAGTGGCTGCTCAGTGATTGTAATGCTGACACTGACATGCATCCTTCCCATCTCGTGTCTCGGGAGAGAGGACCAGAAGTCCACGCTCTGGTATTCACACACACACAGGTTGCACTTTTCCTCTGAGGGAGCCCTATTTCGCTCAGAGGAAAGCCTTTGATGCTCTTTTTGCTCTCTGTTGTTGTGCCAGAGCAGAATAATTGCACTGCTTTCGTGTGCTTCCCTCACCTTCTACCCCTAAGCAGGCCAAAGGCAACTGATTTTGTTTGAGTGTACAAAATTGAGAGAGACGTCTCTTCATCCCCTGGCTTTCAATGGGTTGCCTTTTTTGTTTTTTGTTTTATTCTTCCTGAATATGTGACAAACTCTACAGATGCAGATGAGCATTACTTGTTGTACAGGCAGCACAGACTGAGGTTACTTTTCCAAAGAGGGATTATGATGTCTGATGAAGAAATAAAAAATGTCATGTGTTCAATTTGGTTTATTTACTTTCTTTCCTTGTTCTGTTGTTTGATGAATTCCTCCTTTCTCCTATTGATTTATTAATTTACTCTAGTTTATATTAACATAGGTATGTATCATATTATCATCATCAATGTGGCTACAATAAAAATCTCAATTTACAGACTAATGTATTTTACTGAGGTATAACTCAACAGCTAATATTCACCCTCAGTTACTGGGCAGACGAACCAAATCAAGCATCATGACGACCAAACACCACAAATTAATTTGTACAATAAATATTTCACAACATGTTGAAAATTTCATTCGACAGGACGAGTCATTTTTCAAACTGTTTCTCAGACACGTTGGGTTGAAAAATGTCCTTGTGTTGTTCTGTTGGAGAGAGCAGGACACGTCCCCCTGGGTCTGGTTGTCCTTCAGTTTTGTAAACTCATTAATATATCACCTACGTTTTCCAATTTTGCGGGTAATACTTTATGAAACAGCTTTACCGCCTCTGGTAATTTCCATTAAAACCACAGCCCATAGGATATGACTAATGCCAATTTTAGTCACTTATCAGTTTTAATTCATGTCGTTTATTTCCCTGACAAATAAAGAGGTGTGTTGTTCCGTTTTTATTTGTGGCAGCGTTTTTGCTGACGTAAAAGAGCGTTTTATGTCCATATTGTTGGTGCGACGGGAATAAAAAGTGTTGATGGATAGCCCAACTGAGACACAGCCAATGGACGTGAATATGAGACGCATAAATATGAAAGCGAGGTAGCAGGAATCAAATGACACCCTTGGCCTTTTCTTAAAGGAGCATGTGCATATGACAGGTGATTTACACAGACACACAAACTAATTTTTGCCGCACAAGGACACAAAAAGTTTGGGGCGTAATGAGAAACTAAGGCCTCAAATCACAAGACGATAAATTGAGTGTCAGAACAGGCCAGCCAAGGTTGCACGCTGAGTGGCCAGAATAAACTACAACCACACACACACAACAAACACACACGCACATTCACTTCTGTTCCATTCAACAACATGACAAAGCAACTACATTTGCTGCACAGTGCATTGTGTACACGGCTTTCTGAATAGATTGGGGCTATTTGCAAAACATTTGCCGGCAATGTGTCGGGAAAAAAGAGTATAAAACAATCAAATCTTTAATTCTTTTTACTGATTACATGCAACAGTAAGCAGGCACAGTTTCAAGCATGCATTATGTTTCAATGTACGCTGGTTGGTATGATGAAGAATTTCCTATGTATGTTCTGATGAAATCAAATTAGTCAACATCAACTCAGTATAGTATATTATTTAATTGCATTCCATTGTATTGTACTTATAGTTGTTTAAAAATCTTTATTTTGATTCTTTTTTGAGTGGTCAATGCAAAATTATCATGT